ACCAGGGGAGCGAATCCTCGCTGTTTGTGAATGAAATGTGGAGGACTTTAACACAGACACCAATCCCAAACTGGGAATGCAGTCCCTCCCCCGCCGCACAAATCCCGGAGGCTACAGACTCTGGTGCTTCCCACAATCTCTGTATCCAGGGCCATGGCCAGCTTCCTGGGTTGCCCTGCCTCTCTGAGGGGACAGCGCAAGGCCTGCAAGCTCAGCAGCACTCCCTGGGTTAATCCAGTGAGTTGTTGGGGTCACAGAGTGAAAGCAACACCAAGGGAGAGCAGGGGGCTGGTGGTTAGCAAAACAGCTTTCCAGTGAGGGGCCCAGGCTGCCCCAAGTTTGCAGGGACTTCCCCCTGGCAAAAGAGAACCCTTCTCTCCTCTCAGTTTGAATGTAACTTATGGTCACAGGGGAGCCAGGCCCCACCTCTACTCCGGGAAGGTGTAGCTTTCCCAGGTTGAGGGGAATAGAATGCCAGAGGAGCCATCCTCCTTCTTCAGTGAACTTGTCTCTACAGTGCCAAAGACGCTGTGGAAAGTACCATGACCTATAGAAGGCATAGCCGTCTGCTCCCCAAGAATTTGCAGACCAGTGAAGGTCAATAGATTCACTTTCATTCTTACACCTTCAACAACGAACGTTCTCAACGGGGTTTCCTTTACCAAATGTTAGAAGCTGCAAACCTGACAGGTTCACCTGGGAATCTGCGGTTAAGAAGAGAATGAAATTCTAAGTACAAGGATAAGAGCAAACCCAGATACACTCACGTCATAAACTGGATCACTGTCAATAACTCTCTATTCCCTCCTTGCTTACAATATACATGCCTTTTGCTATGTGCCTTTATAGTTTTCTCCACTAAATGTGGAGAACACTTCCCTGTTCTATTAATGGAAATTACTGTTTAGTAAGACATGCATTTGCACCTGCCGTTAGGTGCTTACTGATTGATATGTCTCCATGATCCAAACCACCTTCATTCCCTTCCCTTCTTCAAAGGTCATATCTCCGATCCTTTTCAAGTATTTGGTCTTTTTCTCCAGGACTTTTATTTTTTTTTAATTTTTATTTATTTATGATAGTCACACAGAGAGAGAGAGGCAGAGACACAGGCAGAGGGAGAAGCAGGCTTCATGCACCGGAAGCCTGACGTGGGATTCGATCGGGGTCTCCAGGATCGCGCCCTGGGCCAAAGGCAGGCGCCAAACCACTGCGCCACCCAGGGATCCCTCTCCAGGACTTTTAAATAGCACTTTCTTCATAGCTTTTTCCTTACTTGTATAACCTAAGGCAATCCACCTAATTTGGGGGAGTCAATTTTAACATCTATGAAACAAGAAGATGGGATTTCCTGATTTCTAATATCTTTTCTGCCCTAACACTGACAGAAACAAAAATTCTTAACTTTTTATTGCTATCAGAATCACTGGTGAGAATTAAATGAAAATGCAGGTACTTAAACCTCACTTGCATAGTTTTTAATTTAGCAGATTTGGGATAGGACTACAGAATCTGTTTTTTAAATGTATATCCCCAAATGGCCTAACGTACAGCAAAGTTTATTCTATGAGCTTCGTTGTTTTCCATCCGTAATCATGACTTTCATAGAGCAAAATGAGTTTTACATAAAAGCTAAAGAAATTAACTTCCCAGTTGACTTAAAAGGGGATCTTCAATCAGAGGGGAATTGAGACAGTGAGAATCAGCTAGATGAGAGAAAGCTCTGAGGAAATGTAGAAATGTCCAGCTTTACACAGAACCTCTCCATATTTAATGCAACACTATCACGGCAAATTGTTAATTGAATGTGGCATTGATTATACTCACAAAAGGAAATATAAAGTAAGTAAAGAAACTTATGAGTAATTTTTTAAAAAAGAAACAGTTTGGGGCACCTGAGCGGCTCAGTTGGTTGGCTGTCTGGCTTTTGATTTCAGCTTGGGTCATGATGTCAGGGTCCTGGGATCTCGAAGACAAAGACCGGCTCCCCGCTCAGTGGGGGTTCTGCTTGGGAGTTCTCTCTTTCCCTCCACTCTCGCCCCCAACTCACATTCCCTCCCTCTCCCACAATGGATAGATGTCTTTTAAAAAAAGAAAAAAACAAAAAACAGTTCACTGTTTTCAAGGTGTGGGGGTGAGGTTTTTTTCTAAAAACAGGCTACCAAATCTAATAGATGAGTTTTAAAATACAGGTTCTACATATAGATATTTCTGTGTTTAGGGGAGCCCTGGGTGGCTTAGCGGTTTGGCGCCTTAGATGAGTTTTAAAATATAGGTTCTACATATAGATATTCCTGTGTTTAGGGGAGCCCTGGGTGGCTTAGCGGTTTGGCGCCTTAGATGAGTTTTAAAATATAGGTTCTACATATAGATATTCCTGTGTTTAGGGGAGCCCTGGGTGGCTCAGCAGTTTGGCGCCTGCCTTTGGCCCAGGGCGTGTCCTGGAGTCCTGGGATCGAGTCCCGCATCAGGTTCCCTGCATGGAGCCTGCTTCTCCCTCTGCCTGTATCTCTGCCTCTCTCTCTCTCTCTCTTTCTATGTCTATGATGAATGAATAAATAAAACCTTTTAAAAAAAGATATTTCTGTGTTTATATTCATGTGTTACATACATTCAACACATGTTTGCATGTCAAATCTACATGACATATTAAACTGTATTTTAAAACAACAAACTAAGGATTGACACTGTAATCAAAACTTAGTGCTTGGAAATTGCTTTGTAAGAATATTTAAAATTTATTTCCTGTAATTTATAGCCTTAGAATCATCGTCCATTAAGGGTTTGGTAAAGCCACATGTATAGAACATAACGATTTTGAGTTGTGAGGCCTATTTTAGGAGACTTGAAGATGTCAGATTTCCTTGGGACTGTCTCACTCATTCACCCCTGTATAAGATCCCTTACTCCAAAAGTGTCTGCCAAAGGAGAGAATATAGGGAGTCAGAGTCTGAGAAAGTAGGAGGGAATTCCAAGAAAACACACAGTCTGAGCCTGGTGATTATCATTTGATCTGGGAGTAAGTTGGATAATAGGATATACATCCACCCTCATCTTTGTGTCTTTTCTCGGCCCAGCAGGAAATAAGGAGCACCTGTCTTAGCCCTAATGTTCCATTTATACCCTATTCCTTCCCATTTTTAGTAGACTCTTTCACTTCTTTGCTTCGTAAAGGTGTCTGGCCTAAGGAGAAATCTCACTGATCCCTCTTGCTCTAAATATTGAGTTGTGTTTTGAAAGTCACTTTACACAAAAGTGCACTATGAATGGACTCAAGCCCATGCCTGGTACCCTTCCTCCCAGTCCTGGGGACCACCTGCTACTCAACCACCTTGGTTGCTCTAAAACTGAAAGCTTATCATGGTGTAATCTATGTACCACACATATGTGTTATGATCCCCATGGGTAATTAAGGCTCCTAGAATGAGTTAGCAACCCTTTACAGTCGTGTGTTTAAAAGGGTGACAACTACTTACCCATTGTGCTTTGGGTACATTTATGTGAATCACTCTCATCTACTGTGTTTCAAATACTGACCCCTGAGCTAATTAGCAGCCTGGTGTGATTGTCTCTATTTTGTAGCAACCAATTAAACAGTGGCTCTGGATAGAACTGACAACAAAATGTAAATTTAAAGACAGAAACCAGGATCTGCTGCTAGAGTGGAGAAAGCCAAGGCCGTATAAGGGAAGTCAAGATGGGGTGAGGTTGTCAGTGGTTTTGTTTGTGGTCGTAGAACACGGGGGCCTCCTTAAATTCAGATTCAGAATTCAGTGGGGTTAACCTGGGAAGTAGCCCCACTGGAAATAAATAAACACATAAACCACAACTTTAAAAAAAATCGCAGAGCATCTGCGTTTGTGCTGGGGGAAGCAAGACTTTAAATCACGGCCACGCGCCTACCCACGCGGGTGACTACCTGGGTATAGACTTGGGTCCAGACCCCTTCCTCAGAAGCAGCTTCACACCTGCATTGAAGCTCCGGCCTGAATGCACCGTCCTCAAGCCTTGCTCCCGCGGCCTCGGACCCGGACCCGGAGGCACCGAGCTGCACGCAGGCTCGCTCTCCGCCACTCGCCACTCGGTCCTCGCCAAGGGAGGTTCCATTAAAAGTGTCCTGCGGTCGCTGCCCCGCTCCTTCCCCTAACCGGCGTATCCATTTAGGGAGGGATTTTGGCTCGTCCTCCCGAAGACGAGGAGCAAAAGGTGAGGGACGCACGTGGAAAAGCCCCGCGACCAAGTCGCACCCCTCCCGACTCAGCCACGCGCCCGCCCCCGGCCCCCTCCTCCCGGGCCCCGCGGTCAGGTGAGGTCACCTGCGCGCCCCGCCCAGCCCCGAGGGGCGCGGGGACCCCTGCTCCCGAAGTCGCCGCACTCCCGGTCCGGCCCGCAGCCTCGCGCCCGCCGCCCCGCGCATCCCCCGCCCCGCGCATCCCCCGCCCCGCGTCCCCTGCCCCGGGCCTGGCGCGCTCCCCATCCGCGCGGCGCGCTCCGCTCCCCTCCGCCGACCTGGCGTGACGCAGGCGGAGACTACTTAAGGGCGGATTAGAGGCGGCGGCCGCGGATTCCCGAGCGCTGCAGCCCGCTCCGAGCGCTCCGCCCGGGCCTCGCAGGCGGCAGCGCAGGGCGCAGGTGCCCGCGGGAGGCCCCAGCCCCGGGGAGAGCCCTCCCTCGAGCAGCCGAGAGCTCGCGGCCCCCGCGCTGCCCACCGCGCCCCGCCCGGCACCCGCGGGCTCCAGACCCGATCCCGGGACGCTGCGGAGGTGCGCGCCCGCCTCCCCACCGCGCCGGCTGCCCCATCGTCGGGGAGCGCTGCGATCTCCTCCTCATTGCCCTCTTTTAAGTGCAATACAGGAGAGGGGACTCCTGGATTTTTTTTTAAATTCGTTTGCTTCTTTAATCGGGGGGCTACGCTCCCAGTCGGGAGGTGCGGCCCAGGGAGGGGCCAGGAGCGGGAACGTGCCCGGTGCTGCCCAGTCTTTGTCTGCTGCCTCCGGATGCACAGCGATGGGGGAATGGACCATCTTGGAGAGGCTGCTGGAAGCCGCGGTGCAGCAGCACTCCACTATGATCGGGAGGTAAGGCGCGGAGCCGGCCGCCAGCGGGTCCCGTCGGGCGACCCCCGGGAATCCCTTCCCACGTCCAGCCCCAGCCCCAGCAGTCCCCAGCCCGTCCACTGCCCCCTTCCAGTCGTCTTCGGTCTGGGCGCCCGTGTCCCCGGGTAATTGTGTACCCGATGCCCAGTGATGCCCCCCTCCCCAGCTGCTTCTGACCAAACTCTCCATCCCTTCCCCCTGAAGCCCCACGGGGTGGGGGGTGGGGTTTGACTTCTCCCATTAGAAAAGGAATTGTTGGCTCAGTCGTGGTACCCCCACTCCCCGGAGTCGGAGCCAATCTCCATCCGGTTCCCTAAATAGAATCTACAAGGAAGGCAGGATTGTGTTTGGACAGAGAAGGGCAAATGGGGGAAATGGATTTGCTCTTTGGAGCAGATGTATCTCCCCCCCCCCCGCCAAAAAATATTTATTAAGCTAAACTGATTTGGATGTTAAAACTTATGGTGTCAGAACCCCACACTGCCAATCGATAACACTTGTGTCTTCATATTTATATTCATATGTATATACACTATATATACCCATGTATGTATGGATATATAATCTTAGCTGTTTATATAAAGCATTAAGTTCAATATTTATACTGAGGCTGAACTATTCACTTGGGATGGTTATATGCACACTCTATGTGTAGACTTTGAAACATGTACTCTGTTCAGATATTCCATGTGCATTTGCCATATCCAGAGTGAAGACGTGTCTTTTGGCTCTGTCCATTCCACGTATACAGATGAAATCTATCTGATGCAGCACACTGTGTCTACTGTATGGACACACACACACACACAACACACACACACACACACACACGACACCCTTGTGATATGAAGTGTTCCCAGACTACCAGCAAGCAGAAGGGGTAGAGCCAGAAAAGATTTCCTAGATTCCCAGGTCAGTACCACCCAGGGATGGACAGCTCCCCAGCCAAAGACTGGCAAACACCAGGGCAGGGAAAGGAGGAGGGGGTTTCCTAAGCCAGTGATTCAACCCTTGAGAACCTCTCTCCCTCCCTCTTCCCTTGCTCAGGATCCTATTGACTGTGGTGGTGATATTCCGGATCCTCATTGTGGCCATTGTGGGGGAGACAGTGTACGATGATGAGCAGACCATGTTTGTGTGCAACACTCTGCAGCCCGGCTGTAACCAGGCCTGCTATGACCGCGCCTTCCCCATCTCCCACATTCGTTACTGGGTCTTCCAGATAATAATGGTGTGTACCCCCAGTCTCTGCTTTATCACCTACTCTGTGCACCAGTCTGCTAAGCAGCGAGAACGCCGCTACTCTACTGTCTTCCTAGCCTTGGACAGGGAACCCCCTGAGTCCATGGGGGGTCCTGGAGGAACCGGGAGTGGAGCCAGTGGCAGTAGCAAACGAGAAGATAAGAAGTTGCAAAATGCCATTGTCAATGGGGTGCTGCAGAACACAGAGAACACCAGCAAGGAAGCGGAGCCAGATTGTTTAGAGGTTAAGGAGCTGACCCCACACCCATCAGGGCTGCGCACTGCAGCACGATCCAAGCTCCGAAGGCAGGAAGGCATCTCTCGCTTCTACATTATCCAAGTGGTGTTCAGAAACGCCCTGGAGATTGGGTTTCTGGTGGGCCAATACTTTCTCTATGGCTTCAGTGTCCCGGGGTTGTATGAGTGTGACCGCTACCCCTGCATCAAGGAAGTGGAATGTTATGTGTCCCGGCCTACTGAGAAGACTGTCTTTCTAGTGTTCATGTTTGCTGTGAGTGGCATCTGTGTTGTGCTCAACCTGGCTGAACTCAACCACCTGGGATGGCGCAAGATCAAGCTGGCTGTGAGAGGGGCCCAGGCCAAGAGGAAGTCAGTCTATGAGATCCGCAACAAGGACCTGCCCCGGGTCAGTGTTCCCAATTTTGGCAGGACTCAGTCCAGTGACTCTGCCTATGTGTGAAGGGACAGGTTTGAGGAAGGCCCGGGGAATGAAAGAAGCCCCAAGGCAGAACTGCTCAGAGAGTGGCTCTAGCTGCCCTCACCATTGAGACATAGGACAAGACTGGTTGAGAGAAGACCTTGCATCAGTGCGAGAGGAGAAAAAGTAGAACCGTTACCACAGGTCACACCATCGGTTCCTACAGAAAGCACCGAGTAAAGTGAGGAGATGGATGAGTTGGACTTCTTTGGGCCTTTTCATTTGTGGCCCAATCTGATCCTGATACCAGTGTACTGGCCCAGCTACAAAGTAGGACTTAGCTCTGCTGAGCTCTATATCCTCGTGAATGGTGTGAGACAAATACTTCATTGGTAAAATTGGTGACCTATCTCAACACATCCCTTCATCCTGGGCTGCAGGACAAACATCCTTGAGGCATCTTTTGTGTACCTCCCTCATCAGCATGCCCCTCTCCCTCAACCCAGGATAGCATGCCAGCTTTTTTCCTGAATCTGGCCTTACAGTAGACCTAATATGGTTTATCTGCAAGCCAGAGGGAATTACAGGGGGTGCTTTTTGGAGAATGGCCACGGTAGAGGTTTGCATTAAAGCCCCATCTGACTAACCCGTAGTCATTATGAAAACCTTTGGAATGTCTCAGTATTTCCAATTTTCTAACTCAAACTGCACTGGTGCTGTTTATTAGGGGCAGGGTTTGGGTGGGAGGGAGGGAATTGCAATATGCAGCTATAATTCTGTGAGATGGTTGTTGCACTGTTAGGCATGTGGTTATGAGCTTTGGGGTATTTCTGCCTTCCAGCTTGTGGACTTTGGCTAGCATTAAAATTATATTTTATTGTCGTTGTTCCTATCAAGGGTATCTAGCTGAGCCACAGAATTTCTAACTCATGTATTTCACTCATTTTCTTACATAGGTTTGTTGTGCAACACAGCTGCACTTCCTTTTGCCATGGTTTGAATTTACCTGTGCGCTCACACCAGAGACCTTAATCAGCCCGTGTCAATCCCGATTTATCATTTTATAAGTTATTTCTGAAATAACACACACTCAATCACTAGCCTAAGAAGCTTGGAATGAAACACTATTGGCTAACATGTGTTTACGGATATTTGAGACATATACCAAAGGTTCAAAAACCTATTTCTTTGGACTGTGACTATGTTTCCTTCTCTTTGCTCTTATTTATTTAAGTGCCATACTCTACCTTCCACATCCACTGTGTATTTAGTTAAAGCATTGGCCAAGAATAATATATGGATTATTGCTATTATGAAGCCCTCTATTTCCTTTGCATTATCATTTATGATTTTTGATTTAGGTACGGACATGGTGTAACACACAACTGAGGATTTGTTTAAAATAAAGTTCTTGCCTTTTTTTTTTTGTAACCTGGGAAGAGTCTGCATTTTTTTTATTCCAAGTGGGGTTTCTATTTATTTAAATATATGTTCACAAATGTTTTGTTGCATATTCAAAAGAGAAGAACATTGCGGGGCAGAAAGTGAGGAATCGATGACCGATAAAGTCCTATCACCACTAACAGATGAGAAGAGGCTGGTACATTTTGGAATGTTTACAAGAGTGTGCTGAGGCATTCAGATAGTAGTATTTACTAACTCCTTTCCATCTTAGCCCAAGACTTCTCTGCTCGTCTAGGAAGATTTCTTGTAATAAAATGGTAACCACATATCATATTAGCTCATTCTGTGAATAGAATATTTTTTCCTTTCCATCATACTTTTCTGCCATGGATGGTCACTTTTGGCAGGTATGCCGTATTCCCCATCATCTCTTTAAGGCCTAATGTTTAAAATGATGCTAACCCAATAGTCAAACAGAACCCTCTAGAACAGCCCTGTCCAATACAACTTTGTGTAATGATGGAAATGTCTATTCTCTGTGTTACCCAATATGGGAACAACTAGTTATATGTGACTATTGAACTCTTTTTTCTTTTTTTTAGATTTTATTCATCCATTCATGAAAGACACACGGGGGGAGGGGGGTGGGGCAGAGACACAGGCAGAGGGAGAAACAGGCTCCATGCAGGGAGCCCGACGTGGGACTCGATCCCGGGTCTCCAGGATCATGCCACAGGCCGAAGGCAGGTGCTAAACTGCTGAGCCACCTGGGCTGCCCGCTGTTGAACTCTTAAAATGTGATTGAACTTCTAAGTTTATTTAATCTTAAATAAATCAAATAGCCATATATGGTTAGTTGCTACTGTATTACAAGCACAGTTTTAGACTTTTAGTCAATCATTTCTTATTGGGTTCTTTCAAAGAGATTGATCCTTTGCCTGTAGGTCATAAGATACTACTTTTTAGTCCCACATTTCACTATAATTTTTGGCATTTTCCATCTACTTGTGGTTCTATTAGCTCGGTAGGCTTACGTTTTTCCTCCACGGCTTCAATGCTATTCATCTTCTTATTCAGTGAGCACTTGGTCTGAACATTGTGAAGCAACGTGGACTTTCCTGGATGATTGTTTTTCAAATACAATCGTGGCACCTTTTAACTATAGCAGAGCAAACGCCAATTTTAGAATGAAAATACATTTTTTTTCAATCTATAGGTTTCCATTGGTATTATAAATAGGCACTTGAAGATTATTATCCTTGAGTAAAGAAACAGATCCTCCTCTGTTTTCTGTTTGGTGAGCTAAAAATGTTTTAAGACACCTCCCTGAGATGGAGGAAGAGTGTTGTTTGAGAGCTCTTAGCATATGCTTGGGTGTGAAAGAAGTAGGAATCTGTGTGGAAAACAAGGACTGTTGTATTTATGCTGTGATGTAAGGTTAGAAGAATGATAGTGTATCAGTGGGCCTGATCTATTTCAGTTCTTTGATGTTTCCAAACACCCACAAATGGAAAGATTATTAATTCACTCATCAGAAATGGAGGAGGGAACACACCTTCCTCTGGACATATGGAGTCACCCCTCAGAATGCTGTTTGTCGTTCTGTTGCTTTCTACTTAATGAAGAAAATATACTGATGACTTGATGGTTCATATAGCTATGTGATGAATGTGACCTTAATCTCTACTTTGTGACAGGACAGCACCAATATATTCTCTTAGATTTAAGAGCCTTTTGGTGAACTGCAGGCCCTTTTGGCCTATGTATGACTGTGTGTGTGTGTGTGTGTGTGCGCACACACACACACACACATATGCCTCAGTAGGGGCAATAGATTCCAATGTACAAACTGGATATAAAAATTTGGGGAATACCCTGAACAGACTGAAGTTATTTAATCAGGGAAAAGAAAAGCTGAAAGTACAGAATTTATAATTTTAAAATCCTCAAATACTGAAAGAGTTAAAAAAAATCAGGGATAACAGCTGTGCCCTCTAACCTCTGAGGACAAAGGTAAAGGACTGCATTTAAAATTGGAGGTGCAGGAGGTTAAGAAAGCACCAGATAGAACATGGTTTCTTTTTACCTCTCCCTTTTTTTTTCAAGAGACAGAAAATGGGAGTGAGGGCGACTTGGGGCAGAGGGAGAGAAAGAGAGAATCCCAAGCAAGATCCATGCCCAGAGAGGAGCCCGAGCCGACTTGACGCGGGGCTGGATCTCAAGACTCTGCGATCACAACCTGAGCTGCAATCAAGAATCAGATGCTTAATCGACTGAAACACTCAGGAGCCCCTACCCTTATTATTATTATTATTTTTAATTTATGATAGTCACACAGAGAGAGAGAGGCAGAGACACAGGCAGAGGGAGAAGCAGGCTCCATGCACCGGGAGCCCGACGTGGGATTCAATCCCAGGTCTCCAGGATCGCGCCCTGGGCCAAAGGCAGGCGCCAAACTGCTGCGCCACCCAGGGATCCCCCCCTACTACTACTACTACTACTACTATTATTATTATTTTTTTTTAACAGTTTCTTCTGCTCAGGATATTTGTCCCACCACCTCCTCTCACTGAATGTTCCTCTTCACCCATTAAAAACCAGTTTAGATGTCCACTTGTACAGGAAGCTGCACTAAACTCATCCAGGCTGGCTTAGTGACCTTGACTGAGCCTTCATTAAAGTCACTGTTTCTAGCTATATGGAGATGAGATGTTTCTAGATCAGAGTAGGAACTGTGCCTTAGTCATGGCAGCCATATGTGACATTTATTGTCATAATCTCATTTACTACCTCAGTCTTCCACCTGGAAAAGGTTTCATAGACTCAGAGGGCATGAAAGCTAAAAACATTCTATGAAAACATTAAGTCAAACCTCTGTTATTTGATTGAAGAACCCCAACAATCTAAAACCAAGACAGTGAGTTTCTTGGAAAATGGTATAAGGATCCATCTTGGAGGATTGGAATATTTAGGAAACTGTATTTAGTTTTGTTTTACTTTTTTAATATTTTACCAAATGTGTGTGTTTGTTGTTTTGGTGTTTTGGTTTTTTTTCTCTGTTTATTTCTTGCTACTGCTACCATAACAAAATAAAGGCTGGATGGCTTGGATAACAAAAATTTATTTTCTCACAGTTCTGGAGGCTAAATGTTCAAGATCAAGGTATCAACAGGTTTGGTTTTTTTCCAAAGGCCCCTCTCCTTGGCTTGCAAGTGACCACCTTCTTGTGTCTTGTGTCACATGGTCTGTCCTCACTGCACATGGGTGAATGTCTGATGTCTCTCCGTATGTCTAAATTTTCTCTTTCTGTGATGACACTAGTCAGATTAGACTAGAGTCCTCCCCAATGGCCTCAGTTTAACTTAATCACCTCTTTAAAGACCCTGTCTCAAAATACAGTCACAGTCTTACCTGAGGAACACAATTCAGCCTTTAATACTATCTCCAACCTTTAGGTACCCTTATGTTTAGAGGAGCTATATAATTTACTGCACAAAATGGGATACCTTAGAGAATGAAAGGGGCAGGATAGCTAATTGCATGGTACACCAGAACAATGGGTTTAATTGGATCTGTCCTGAACAAACCAAAATGTGTGGATATCTTACTTAAGACAATAAATTGCCATTGAGCCCCTGCTCCAGGGCCTGAAAGCCTGGACATAATAATACCTATCTCAGCTTTTAAGAAGGGCAGTTAGAGCTACATCTCCAACAAAAAGATGGAAATTTGTGTCAATAATAATGGGAAAATAGTAATTAAAACATTACCAATCCCTTTGGCCTAC